ATTTCATTCCTTTACATTATCCAATTTAGAATGCTAGTTTTTATTGTCTCAAAATTCTCTAAACCAATTCATCAAAAAAGGGTTATCTTTAGAATTAATATTTGCATTTAGGAGTAGTTATTAGTTATGTTAAAATTAATACTTACATTTAGGAGTATCTGTTAGTAAAGCCTCTTAAATCACACTTCCAAACTAAGGACTAATAGTAGTAGATTAGAATTTGACTAAGGAACTCTTACCTTGCTTCCCTGTGGGATCAATAAATGGGACTCCACTAGAGCCCTGTATTACTTGAATGGTACATATACTTGCGTTTGAAATCGTGACTTTACAAAATCATTATAAATATATAAATATGGGTTCATAAATTATTGCATATGAAAAGTCACATCAAGTTTTTGGCGTCGTTGCCGGGGATTTAAATCTTCTAGTAGTGCTGTCAAATTCTTGTATTTTTAAGCATATATAAAGTCGTGGTCAATAATCCACAATAATTAGAATATATATATTTTCAAAAGATGGTATGAATGTTCTCATAAAATCTAAACCTCATACATCAAAATTTTCAACTTTCTAAAGTAAAATTTAGGGCATTTCATTTCTCTTGGAAATATTGCAAAATTTAGGGGCATTTCATTTCTCTTGGAAATATTGCCTACTCTTTGGCATCTATCCCATGTTTTTATATGAGTATTAACAACTCTAAATAAAATAGGCCAATAAAATCCATATTGTAAAATTTTAAATGTAGTTTTATACACTCTTAAATGTCCCCAAAAATCATATTCGTGATATTTTTGAATAATTTCCTTAGTTTCTTCAATAAGTACACATCTTCGTATGACTAAGTCCTTACATTTTTTTATATAAATAAGGGTCATCCCAAAAGATCTTTTGGTGGCTTTCTAATCCGTAGGGAAAAATATTATTAACTTTATAATTAACTATATCTACATACCACAAAATACGCCACTCATGAACAGAGTATAATTGTTCATCAAGAAAATTTTCATTTATTTCAATGTCATTATCATCATAATTTCCTGTTGTATCATTGATAAATGATTAGTTATTTGATTATCACTACCCTTCCTATCGAGCTCCTGCATCATAAGGACTCGTTTAATTAATCGTGGTTTTACATCCTTCTTCAGCATCAATCATTTAATAGTATAATGATCAGTATTCACAATAAATTTTGCCTCAATAAGATAAGGTCTAAATTTATCAAAAACATATACTATTGCCAATAACTCTATTTTAATAGTGGTATAGTTAATTTGAGCTTCATTAAGGTTTTACTGGCATAATGGATAAATTTAAAAATCTTATCTTATTTTTGCCCTAATGCAACCCCAATAACATAATTACTTGCATCACACATTAATTAAAATGGGTTTTCCTAGTCAGATGAAACAATAATGGGTGCAGTGATTAGTTTTGTCCTTTAATAAATTGAAGACAATTTGACATTCCTCATTGAAATCAAAGTCTGTGTCTTTTTCTAAGAGATGATATAGAGGCTTGACAATTTTTTGAAAAGTCTTTAATATAACACCTGTAGAACCCAACTTGTCCTAAAAAACTCCTAACTCCTTTCACTGACATAGGAGGTGGTAATTCAACAATAACTTAAATTTTTGTTGGATCAACTTCCATGCCATTTTTAGAAATCTTATGTCCTAACACAATTATTCATACAACCATAAATTGACATTTTTCTGAATTGAGAACTAATTTTATTTCTTCACAGAGTTTTAGAAACTTAGTTAAATTATCTAACATGAATCAAAAGAGGTCCAAAAAATTGAGAAATTGTCCATGAAAACTTCAATTTCTTTCTCAATTAAGTCGCAGAAAAATGACATCATGCACCATTGAAAAGTTGTTGGTGCATTACATAAATCATAAGACATCCTTCTAAAAGCTTCTAAAAGCAAAAGTCCTCTAAAAGCAAAAGTCCCATATGGACTTGTGAATGTTGTCTTTTCTTGATCCTTAGGGGCTATGAGAATTTGGAGGTATCCATAATATCCATCCAAAAAGCAGAAATATCGATGCTCAGTAACTTTATCTAACATCTAATTCAGAAAAGGTAAAAGAAAGAGATCTTTCCTAATGACATGGTTTAATTTTCTATAATCAATATAGATCCGCCACCCAATGACTTATCTTATTGGAATTAATTCATTCCTTTCATTAATCGTTACAATCACTCCTCCTTTCTTAGGAACACAGTGGATTTGACTGATCCAAGCACTTTTAGAACTAGGATAAATGATTCGAGCATCTAACCACTTTAAAATTTCTTTCTTAACCACGTCTTTCATAATAAGGTTCAATCTTCTCTAAGGATCAGCTTTAGGTTTATGATTATCTTCCATTAAAATTCTATGCATACGGATTGGAAGGCTAATTCCTTTAATATCAGTTAACATCCATCCAAAGGCTTTCTTATGATTTTTCAAAGCGTCAATTAATTTTTCTTCCCGATCTTCAGTTAAATCAATGGATATTATTACAGGTAATGTTGATGAATTCCCTAGAAAAACATAATTTAAATGAGTAGGGAGCACCTTCATCTCAAGCTTAAGAGGTTTTTTAATTGAAGGAATTAGAGGTTTACTATTTTCAGTACTGTTGAAAATCTCAAAACTTTCTTGAACATAATTTGAATCCTCAATATCATCTCATTTAATTTATCTTGAAAAAAAAATTTCATTTTAATCATCTAATTCTTGTTGATTTATTTTAACTTCATATCTTTCTCGGAAATGATTATTAAATAAATAATCAATAATAACTATTTTGTAACATTTATCATCTTTTCTTTTATTTGGATATTCCATAGATTTTAGCACATTAAGAGTAACCTCCTGGTCATTAACTCTCATTATTAACTCTCCTTTCTACGTATCTATCATTGCTCGTCCAGTACCAAGGAAAGCCTCCCCCAAATGATAGGTATTTCTTTATCTTCTTCCTTATCTAAAATAATAAAATCCTTAGGAAAGATAAATTTACCCACTTTTATAAATACATCTTCTATAACCCCCATAGGATAAGCAATAGATCGATCAATCAATGGTGGGAGAAATCTCTCCTAAGACTGTCATGAGGTTAATGCCAACTCTTAAATCACATAAACATTTTCCATAAAATATTTCTCCAATCTCACAATTTATAGTAAAGCTACACGGATCTTTGAGTTTTTGGGGAAGCTTTTTCTGAATTATTGCACTACATTTTTCACCTAGTACAATAGTTTCATAATTTTCAAGCATCCTCTTTTTGTTAAAAATTTCTTTCATAAATTTAGCATAATTTGACATCTATTGAGACATGCAATGCTTATGACAAAATGTTTGCCCTTAAAAGAGAAGCATAAAATTAAGAGCATAAACATTTTCCATAAAATATTTCTCCAATCTCACAATGTATAGTAAAGCTACACGGATCTTTGAGTTTTTGGGGAAGCTTTTTCTGAATTATTGCACTACATTTTTCACCTAGTACAATAGTTTCATAATTTTCAAGCGTCCTCTTTTTGTTAAAAATTTCTTTCATAAATTTAGCATAATTTGACATCTATTTCAATGCTTCAGCAAAAGGAATATTGATGGTAAGATTTTTTAATATCTTGAAAAACTTTGAAATTTTTTTTTCCTGCTTTTGCTATCTAAGTATCCGAGTAAATGAAGTTAGTGGTCTTTCTAAATTGAACTTAGTTGGAGAGATAGGTTTTTCTACATTCTTAGGAACAGTTTCTTCATGTTTTTTAATTTCCTTATTCTCCTCCTCAACTTCAATCTCCTTTTGAATTTCAACATTTAATTCCCTTCCACTCCTGAGTTGGACAACTTTAACTTGCTCTTGCTTTTTGTTCCTATCTTTAGGATTTATTTCAACGTTACTAGGAAGCATTCCTTGGGCTTTTTGCTAAGTGCATTAGCAATTTGTCTCAGTTGATTTATAATATTTCTTATTGCAGCATTCTAACTTAGTAATTGATTCCCATCTTTAACACCACTCCTTTTATAGACAACTTATTCTCCTTAAATGGTTGGTTATTAGTAAATCCAGGAGGGTGAGAAGGTACATAGTTAATACTACCCTGGTTGTTCCAGTTTTTAAATGTGTTTGCTTGATAGTTCCCTCATTGCTGATTTCCGCCACCAGAATTATTAGTTCATTTAATGTTAGGGTGGTTTTTCCAACATGGATTGTAATAATTATAATATGGGTTATTAGGTCTATTGTTAATTGCATTTAAAGTCTCTAATGATGGTTGAGAATCAATCATTTAACCTAATGAATTCTCTTATACTACATGAGGTGTTTGAGAAAAGTTCATTCCAAATTGATTTATTTTCTTAGATATTACATCAATATATGATAGAAAAATACCATTTAAACTTAAAGGAAAATTTTATAAGATGGTGATGAGACATGCAATGCTTATGACAAAATGTTTGCCCTTGAAAGAGAAGCATAAAATTAAGAGTTAGAGAGATGAGAAAGCTAAGGTGGATGAGTAACTTTACACATAGAGACAGAATGCAAAGCAAATATATCTATGAAAGGGTTAAAGTAGCTCCAGTGGTAGGCTTGATTAGACAGAGTTGTCCTAGATAATTTGGTCACATTAAATGCCAATCATCTCATAACCCAGTTAGGAGAGTCGATGTTTTAGATTTTATTTATGTTAGGAAAGTAGAGAGAGACCTAAAAAAACTTTGGCATATTGTATACAAAATAATATTTATTTATTAGAATTAAATGAAAATATGATACTCAAAAGGATACAATGGAGAAAAATGGTTCATATAGCCTAATGGGATAAAAGTAAGTTATTGTTGTTATAGCCATAAATTTTTTAGCATTCAATAAAATCAAATAATGAGGTCTTAAAATTAATTACTAATAAGGTCAACACATCGAATGGGGTCGGGATTCCCAGTAGATCCGTCGTTAACCTTATCAATAGTGTAAAATGCAAGCTGATTTTAAACGGGTCAGTTCTTTCTTCTAAGAATTGCAGGTTTTTTTCTTTGTGGGAGACGAGTTATTTTTACAAGCGGAAGCATAGAAATTTGGCATCCTTCGTCGAAATCGTGTTTGAATTCTTCTCGTTCAGCATCTTCAAACACGGTGAAACCCTTAATTCGCGTAATCGGGCGGCTCGCCCCTTGATTAGCTCCAGCTTTGGCGTCGGTCCCTTCTAGTTTCCTCGCCGCCTCCGTCCGAGGTTTGTTTCCCCTTCGCCATTCCCTTTTCTCCTTTATTGATACGTTTCGATCTCTCTCTCTCTTCTGCCATCGAGTCGACCCGTTAGGCTGAGAAGAAAATTGAATTGGTCGGTGTTCTGCTCCCGAATGTGATTCTGTTTTGAAGGTTTTATTGATCAGGTTATCCGTTGTGCTGCGTGGGGTTTCGTCGAGGGAAGTTTTTGATTTTATTTGAGCTTTACGTTATAAAATAACGCTACCCTTGAAGAGAACCTCTTCCAAGGATGAACCACTTATAAAGCCAGCAGCAGGGCTGAAGGCTACTTTACCTTTACAAAAGTCTGCTGTTACATTATAGAACTTATGTTGTTCATTATTTCTATATTACACTTGATGATTTTAATTAGTAAAATACAACCAATGTATGCTTATTGGGTGAGGTGGAATGGGAGGGAGCTTTTCTCTGCTCTAACTTAATTGTGACACCTATATTTCATGTTCTGCTTGAGCAAAGTCCTTTCTATTGGGTATAACATTTATGTTGATAACAATCTACTTTCAATAAAATAGATAGAGGTGCAGACCTTGCCATGATCATTTGGAGAACTTGGTGCACTATCCATTCAAAGCAATCTTTAAAGCATTAATTTCTTAAGACTCCATGGTTCCCATTATTATGATACATATAAACATATAGTTGCATGTACTCCAATTATGAAACTTGTTTTGAAACTAGTTGCAAAATTGTTGTGCATTCTATTATAGGTTTATATAGATCATAATCCTTGGAACCATGGAATCATACAAAGTCATACTTTAGAGATTGTTTTGAATGGGTATTGAACCATATTCTTCTATTTACAATGGCAAGGTTCGAGCCCTCTGCCTATTTTATTGGAAGCAATTATTTAATCTCTATGTCCATGAATTATACCAAAACCTTATTTAGTTCAAATAGAAAAAAAAAAAGAATAATGAAGAGAGACTTCGCTTTAGAAAACTCAAATACACGATTTAGGTTAGATTGCATAATTTTCATTCCTTGGGCTCTTTTTATGGTTATTTTCATGTTTAGCTTGGGGCTTAAGTGTTATATAAAAAAAAATCTCATGAATAATAGAAAAGTACAAAGTAAGACCTATTGATTACTCGCTTTAAAATACAAGAGGCATTTAGCGTAAATAGTAACTTTGATCATAGTCATTTAGATGGGAAGAAGTTGCTGAATTTCTTGTGAGCTTTAGTGACTATGCTCGAGTTTAGTATATTAAAAAGGCATTTTCTCTTCGTGTTGAATTCATTGTTTATTTTGCATGAGACAAGTTAATAGTATAATGCACATTTATTTGTATGGGAAATTTAAATGATGTAATTTAACATTTTTTGAGAATGTATTGATTTATATTTATTTTCTTTTTTTTCATGTCAACTCAATCAATTCCTTATAAATAACGCTTTCATTTCCCGTTAAAAAGGTTGCAAGCACTTTTAGATCAACTTCTTCTTATCACTCTTAGCTTTACAATCTTACAAAAATTAAAGTTCTAAAAGATAAAATTACGATCTATAGGGACGTTACGGCAACAAGCATCCTCAATGAAAAAGGAAGGTAAGGGTTTGGAGAAAACTATAAGAAGGTCAAGCCTGAACTCATTGTGATGAGTAAGACAGGGGATAAAATCATCCAAACTTGACTAACGACTTCCATTGAACACCCGCAGAGGTAGCCCCTTCACAATGAACCAACCAGTTTGCGCAATTGAGTGAAATTCCTAATTTCCGAGAAGTTCCTACATAGGTAAATATAGAAACTTACTAAGTTGTTTTATATGAATTTTTAACTCAATATATATATATATATATATATTGAGTTGGTTCCCAATGACTTCAACTATCTCAGTAGAGGAAGTAGTCCAAGTAGTGACTGTGTAGTCAGTTGAGAAGTGGCTAGCAGTGAAAGGTAATTTAGTTCCATCTTTTGCTGAGAATGATGTTGTATCTTAGAGCATTTCCTTATATTTTATGAACAATATTGTAGCACATAATACAAAGAGTGTGCTTTAACCAAAAATCAATGCTAGGTTTACTCGAGAGTTGATTTTGATTTTATGGTGACTTATACAAGTACTTCTTAAAAATTTCGGGCTTTTATTTTATAGCGTCATCTTAAAGAATCTTTTTTAAGTTTTATTAAGAAATTTTTTTCTTTCAAAGTTGTGTTAGATTAGCATCCAAGGTCATTTTTGTCTTTTATGTGCCTAAGGACAATTTAGTCTTTTATTAGTTATTATTGTGGGGTATAAATAGTGTTAAATATATTTAGGGCTGGATATGTTTGATTGTTGTCTTTGAATCTTAGGGTTAGTGTTTGGGGGAGTTCACCTACCAATCGAAGCGTAGTTGCTAGAGTTAAGGTTTGGGAGAGACTGCCAACCTCTTAAATTGTAAGTGCTTTTCTTTTATGCATTTGAGTTTTGTTGTTTTGTGTTGGTGAAGTAAAAAAAATTATTTGCCCTAAATTTGCTATGAAAGTTCATCCCGATTTGTATCAAGATGCTCCTTAGTGAGTTTAGGTTTAGGGATTTGAAGATATTTGCTCTTTGAGACATTCAGAGAGATAAGACAAGGTCGTTGTTGAGGTGTCCCTTGTTACTTCTAGAACCTCGGAGGATCCCACTGAAATGAGGGAGTCAACTGAGTTAGCTACAAAGGAAGGGATGACCCCGTCCTCCAACTTCGTTGCTACAAGAAGTTTGTCGTGATGCACATGGCTCCATGCTAACTCACCAAAGGAGTAGGCCAAAGTGGTGAGTTTGATGAAGAGAATCAAGGAAAATATGGTTGAGATGAATGTCTTTAACCTCTCTACAGAATCAAATGCTCATAGAGAGGAGTGAGATTTAGGGAGCATTACTCTTATGGGGTCAGGATTGAAAGAATTGCAGAAGGAATTGATGAAATGTAGTTGTTAAGAAAACAATTGCAGTCTTCAAAGACTTGAAGACCAAAGCCATTTTGAGCCATAATCATTTTAGACTTTTCGAAGTTAAATTTATTTTTTTTGCGAGAACCAAGTTTGTCTTGTAGTAATTAATTAAGATGTACACTTCATATTGATGCCTTCTCTGATTTGCTTTTTAGATTTTTTTTTTAATAGTGTACTTGGGAGAGTTTGGAAGAAGGGTTGAGTTTCAGTTATCCTTATAGTTACGTAATGCAGTTTTGATGAAGTGTAATATTATTTGTATTTTGTAATTCAAACGTTTATTTTAATGGAATGTAGAAAGTTTTCTTACTTCATTGAGTTTGATTTTACTTTAACTTGAATGGTGATCAGTAATGATGATGACTTATTTTAAAAAAATATTAATAATAATTAACATTTTAGAACTTCAAAAATTTCTAAAATAATTTTGATTAAGATATTTCTTGAAGTTGCTTCATTCCTTGCTTATAAATAGCCTTTGGGCTCCACTTGGATTCTCTCTCTCTTGATTGAGACATTCTCTCTCTAGATCTCACCCTTTCTAATTCTCGATTTTTTTCTTAACTTTCTATCATTCTCTGCTTTCTATGATAACAAACACTTTGAAGAAAAAGTACAAGTAGTTCCAAGAATACAAGCACATTCTTGTTCCAAAGGTGATGATTGTGATGTCAAAGGTTTTTAATAGTTCTATTTAATTTCAGTGCCTAAACCTGATGAGTTTGTGAACAAGTTGATTGGGGACTAGTTTTGTTGCAATGAGGATCAATTCAGTGTCGACATTTTATTTTCATTGTGCCAAGTGTTTGCTAACATCATCCATGTCCTTGGAGTTGCCTTAACATAGCTATTGCTGAATTCCTTTGTGAATGTAGTCTTTTTCATTATCCACCAATGAGAGATGAAGATAATATGAAATATAACATCTTTCGACATCTCATGACAATTAATGCTTTAAAGGATGGAAGTGTTTTGTTCTTGTCAAATCACATTTGGATGTCGAACTTAGAGAACAAAATCAAGCATTTGAAAGAGAAGTTTTGATTTGTTAAATATATTTAGCAATGTCCAATGAAGACCAACTAATGCCATTCTCGAATGATCCCTCTATGCTTGACTTGCAGGAGGATAAGTATGCGAAGTTCCTTCAACTGAAGAAGATAGAGTTGAATGTCCACTTTTACCTTGATGTCCAAGCTTTCATGTAACAATTTTTGTATGAGTTTCTTATCTCAATATTTCATTTACTTCTATTTGTATCCATGATTTGTCTTTATAACTTTGTTACTTCGATTTCATTTTAGTGGATCTTGATGCTTAACTGATGTTAGACATCCAAGTGGTATGAGTTTATATAGATAAAGGATTAAAAATGAGAGAAGAAAATAGTGAAGAAGTCGACAACTGTAATAGAGGAATATGAGAACTTTCTCTTGAATATTTCTTACAACTATCAGATAATAAATTCTTGATTGCAGCAAGTCACCTTCTATTTTACTATTTGATCTCTAGTTAAAATTTCAAGTTGACATAATAAGTAGAGTTGACTGCTTGGAATATATTGAGGAGATGTTAGTTGAATGCAATATTATCAGTTACCGAAGCATCGACTATGATAAAGTCAACCATCATTCTATTTTATCTATTTTCTTACCCCTAAGTGACCAACAAAGTAAATATTTCTCTTTTCTCACTTGAAAAATTAACCCAACTTTATGGGATAGGTGAGTTCCCTTAATGTTTATATTCTCAGATATTTTTGAAAATAATATTAACAGAACTTTTCATATTATTCAATATGCAATCATGCAAGTAAACATAATATTGTCTTGTTAGGTATTAATGTTTGGTCAGCTTCAACTCATGCAACTGAAGCTATTTTAAAGCTAGGTCAAGTAGATGTTTCCTTAGATTTGCTCAGAATGGTGAGTACATCTCCAACTATGTGAATGGCTTGTGTGAGGACAAGTTCATTTCCAGAATCCTCCACAGAAATCTTTGGACTTCCACCTTGATTTGCTTGACAAATTCCTTAGACTTATTTGTTTTAAAGAGCATTTCCACTAATTATCTTGGATATCATTAACTCTCATCAACATGACCATGATCTCAGTGAAAGGCACAATACTTTTATGATCTCTCTTGTGTGGACCTATGTTCATTGACGTATGTTGTTTGAAGCTGTCATTATTTTGAATGATCTCTATAAGGTTGGTCAAGGAAACTCACAGTGGTGTGATGGTTAGATATTGTTATGTTGGAAGTGGATGTGATGATTTCTCCATTTTTCCATAATCACTTTAATTTTGATTTTGCGTTCGCCTCCATTGACATGGAAGTTGTTGTTGGCTCGAGAAGTTTCCCCCAAACTCAGAAACCTTGGGAAACTTTTTGGGTCTTTTGGAATTATGAAAAATTCCCCTACTAATTAAAAGCGCGTTGGTCTCCTTGACTCCAAATCTCCCATCTCATTGTTTCACTCTTTGTTAGCGTGGTCGTTGTCGAGTATCAGTGACATAGCCATGATTTTCGGCTATTGCAATTCGAGTGTGTAGCGAGATGGGCGCCTTCTTCTAGACTTTGGATGATGATGGTTTGAGCCATAACTGGCTTGAAATCCATCAGTTTTAACATTTTTTTCTAATAACTTGTAATTAAGCTCATTAGTAACTCACCTACCACTTGCCTGATTTTCAATATAGCTTGCGAATTCCTTAGAGGTTGTTGCACGATGATGAATTATGTTATAATAAATTTTTTGAAGTCTAAAAGTCATATAATATCCTCGAGCGACGAGCATGAAAATCACCTGAGGACCGACTCCTTAATAGTAATGAAAAGCAAGATGCAACTCGATGCGTCTTCGACGCTCATTAGTGAGGGGGCAGATTCAAAGTAGGCGACATGATTTGTTGGGTCGGTTCTCTCCTTGTATTAATCAATGTGCAAGATTTTGAGTGTTGCAGGAGGCTTTGCCATTGCAATTTTCTTGAAGGAAGCATTCATTTGAGTGGCTTCCTCTTTTCAATGCGCCTCTATGCTCAATGATACTATGGTATTACTATTTCATTTCAGAACTTTGGCTAATTAGCTCGTCTCTAGCATCAAATTTCTCTTTCTTATGGTTGAATTTAATGACTCCTTAGTTGCCTTTGCTGTAGGAGTTTTTAAAATCCACTCTATGATTCTTCGGATAATTTACCCAATTTGTTTCATTTCTGCAAGTTATCTAGTTGTAACTAACTCTTGATTCTTCATGTTGAAACGATTTACGTAGTTGGCTCCTCTTTAATTATCAACTTGTCCCTTTTGGATCATGACATGAGTTCACCACCTATCTCTTGCGTTCATAAATTACACAAGAACCTTAGCACAAATTTAAAAACCGGAAATGAAAGAGCGAATTGTAGGGTTTGAAGCACTAGGATTTCCACTATAGAAACTTCAAATACAATAATCATTCTATGATTGCATAATCTTGCAATCACTGGGCTCTGCATGCTACCCTTTATTTATAGGTTTAAGGGCTCCAAAAAAAGAAAAAAACAAAAAAAAAAAAAGGAATAAGAAAACAAAAGAGTACAAAATGCGATCCATCCGTTTCTTAGGTATATAGTTTAAATAATGATTAGGATTTGTTGTTGCCCAGCTGGGATTAAATTGCTTGTTCTTTTGAAGAAGTCACTGAATGGCTTTTCTGCTTTGGCAAATATGTTTGAGTTTGGTTGATTCAAAATGTTCATTATGAGTTGGGCAATTTTTCCATGAATCTCCATAAGCCTTGCTAGCGAGTCTAGTTTTAGTTTGGCTGGTAGGCTCTCCTCAAGCTTGGTTTGCGAGTCTGCTTTGAACCTTTCTAGTGAGTTCTCTTTGAACTGTTTGGTGAGCCCGTTCTGCTCTTGGTTAGTACACCTTAGAATATTTGATGTGCGCTCTGGGCTATCAATAGCTTGGTAAGTCATATTTTGTAGAAGTCTCCATAATGGGTTGAGCATGAGGGCAAATGTCTTTTATCAGTATTTCAGGCTAATTTGACTAGCTAACCATGAAAATAAATGAAAAACTTCCGCATCTATCCATTACTTTCAATTTGAAACGCCCTCCAATTCTCTGTCATCTTGTTTTTTGTAATTCTATAGGATAAACTCACTGGCTGTGTGTGCCCTGTTTTAATGTTGCCTCTCTAGTCTCTCCATTTTTATTGTCATTATGTGCTGTTCTGTAATTTACAAATTTATATTATTTGACTGAGCCCTTTTTTATCATAATTTGGAATTTTTTCTCCATGTATCTCAAAATTCTTCCATCAATATTTTTAACTTTTTTCCTTGTTCTAGGTGGGCTGTTCTTACCTTAGCTTTAGCGTTGGTTACCTATAATTTGCTTTATTTTTATTAGTTAAAAAACTTCAGGTAGCTTTCTTTGTTAAATATTGCTAGTTGGACTTGGTTATATGTGTTTTAGCAATTCCAATTTGAACTTTTATCTGTATAGGGCTTAAAACTCAAGCAGGTTAGTAACAATCCTGAGACTGAGTTTTGAAGTTTCAATACTCAGTTTATTTTCTTCTCTCCCACCTGCTCTGAATGTGTGTTGACATATGCATTTCCATCCCTTAACACTTTTAGATAATAGCTTATGCATAGGAACTGGTTTCTATCTAGGTATGCATAAGCTATAATGTATTTGTTGATTAACCTTTTTCAGAGGTTCTTCTTTTTTGCATGAAAAGTATTCTTGTTTACTGATATTGTCTTCTGATTTTTATCAGTAAAACCTATGTTTGATGTGTGATCCAAAGTATTACTTTCATGATGCCGTATTGAGGAAAAATGGTTTCTTAAATGAACGAGGGGCTCAGCTATTAATTTTTGAATATAATTGTATTTGAAAGAATATGTCAAGGGGTCAGCCTCAGCCAAGAACTCAATTCGCCAGAAGGATACTCGAAAGATGCCAAAACAGTGGAAATACTGAAGAAACAATCATCATTGATGATGATACAGAAAATGCCGATGTTGTTCTAATTGACAATCCAAATATTTCTCATCAGGGAGTAAAACATGCAAAGAAAACAAGATTAAACTGCTCACCTAGAGGTGTGATTTATATTGATGACGAAAAAGAGAATCCTAGAAATTCATCAACTGACACTAATACAAGCAATCAATTTACTGAAACTTTCTGCAGCTTATCATTGTCTGAAAGCTCAGACACTGATGAATTTCACATGTGTGTTGGAAATGGAAATGCCTGCTGTGATCATACTGGTCCTTCCAGAAGCCGTTATGGCTTGGATCTTGATTCAGAGAACAGCATGACTGAAAGTATTACTATAAAATCAAACACCAATGAATGCGATGAATCTGAGTGGAGCAGCTCTGATTGTGTGATAATGGAAGATCATTCTGGAATTATTCGCGAACAGTGGGAAAAGGCTGCATTGAGGAAGAAGGGAGGGGGGCAATTTGCTTCTTCCGATCAGGCTACCATGCCTCACTCAACTTTTTATACTGAAGATCCATCCCATGCGCCAACCCTAGATGATGCTGATGTTGCAAATTGTTTTGAAAGAATGCCATCTAATTATTTTGAAGAAATGTTTGCTCAATGCGGTACAAGATTTACAAACAATGCTGAGCAGCGCCCCTCAGCCAATGTACTTTGTACTGATGGAAATGAAGATTTTTATCTAAATACTGCAGTTAACGTCTCTGTTACACAATCATACTCCAGTAGTCACATTCCTTGTAAAGGACCAGGTAAAAGGAGGGATGAAGACGAGTCAAATCTAGAAGAGCAACCACAAACAGCTCACTCAATGAATGATGGTCTTAGTTTTCTCAATAAGGATGCACGAGAGCCTGTGAAAACTTCTTTATTTACGTGTGAAAGCCATGGCAAGTCAGGGTTCTTTGATAAAGAGGAACCTTCTACTACAACATCCCATGCTTTTGGTAAATTGGATGGGAAGCAGGTGTCAAATGACAATGATCTCAGTCCAGACAGAGTGGAACATAAACTTGATGAACGAGAAGCTTCAGACTTTAAAGAGAGCCTAAAGATAGATTTTGAAGAGTCTTCGTCAATTTGTAGTCAACTGCATGAAGTAGCACCGATCAAAGCCCCCTTCTGTGGTCATATGGATTCTAAAATGAAAAGCAAAGTAGATGCATTGTTTGCAACAACTGATGTGGGACTGACTGCATACAAACCTGATGATATGCCTCATGGCTATGAGAGTTTAATTGGTGAACGTGAAAGGTATAAGGAAACAGATGAGTATAGACGAGTTGCAGAAGAGGAATGGGCATCAAGGCATCGGCAGTTGCAGATTCAGGTTGTTTATATAATATGTAGTTACTGATTATTTGCTTTTTGACTCATTATTTTCTATTTTCATTGTCTTTAAAGACGCCAGTACCACCATTTCTCTAATTAGTAATTCCTTCCCTTCATTTCTAATTTAACCACACATCAGTTTTAACATTCTCATGATATCGACATTTGACTTGTAACTTTTTCCCTCACTTATAACTATTCAATATGCCTTGTAACTACATGTAGCTTGATAGAATTTATTTTTAACTTCTCATTATATTTATCAACTTATATTTTTGTTTCAATGGTTCACCAAATTAACCATAAAACCATATGATAGAAGGCATGTCAAGTGCAATGGTTTTTGATGTGGATTTAATGTAAAATAATAAGAACAGTGAGATGAAATATTTAGGATTTTTAATGAGGCAAGATTACAAGATTTATTGTGTAATATCATTAAGAAGTACACAATCTTATACAAAATATTATTTACTACCTTTGATTCAAAATAAAGAATAAATCAATAAAGTTGCATTAAACAACTGACAGATTCCTCACCAATGGAAATTAAACACGGGATCTCAAATCATATTGTAAATTGATGGCATTCAAGATCTGAAAATTGATAAAAATCATAGTTGTATAAAATTTATTTGACTCTAATCCATCATTTGTAACTAATAAATAAAATAGCTAGGCAAAGGAATATATGAGAAGATGACAGCAACGAAGAGAGTGATTATGAATGGAGTTACGAAGGTGTGGTTCCATCTGCTTCCTTCAAGCTATGCACTGGAATAATCAATAATTCCATATCCAAATAATTGATTCCATTCAATTCAATATTTAATGATAGTTTCTAAAAATGACATTTTATTTATAGTAGTGACGCGTGCCTAAAGATTCATAGTGGTGTAGTGATATTTAACATCTTAATATCACACATTCAGATAGTAAAAATGTAGCAGGGGGAAACATCTTAATCTTTTACATGAAAAACCTGGAAAGGAAAAAAAAACCACGAGATCTAGCCCAGTTGAAATAATCCATTGTGAGGCTAGTACACATGCCCATTCTTCTCCTGAGTTAGAGAAAATATAATTAAAAAATTGATGTACAATGATATTTTAGTAATAATAATCATAATTGAGAGTTTTGATGGATAAGTACAAAGAGAGTAAAGAGGATCTACATATGATTTTTATTGATTTAGAACATTTTTATAATAAGATTTCAACAGAAGTCCTTCGCAGAGTTCAAATAAGAAAAGTATTGATATGACTTATATTCAAGTTATTAAAGATATGTATACTAGAGTTGTTACTTGTGTTCGAACAGAACGAGGATTGACCAAGTATTTTCCTATTTGAGTCGGATTACATTAGAGGTTGGCTTTAAGCTCATATCTTTTCGCTTTAGTTATGGATGCTCTTATTGGGCATTTACAGGAGGATGTACTTTGGGTGTATGCTTTTCGCTGATAATATTCTTCTAGTGGATAAGACTAGAGAAAGAATTCAGGAGAAACTTAAATTATGGTGGTCTATATTGGAGTCTAAAAGCCTTCATTTGAGTAGATCTAAAATTGAATACATGGAATGTAATTTTAGTATTAGTAGCTCTAGTGGAAGCTTGGTAACTATGGGTGATCAAATCATTAAAATGTGTGAACATAATTTTAGTATTAGTAGCTCTAGTGGCAGTTTCGTAATTATGGGTGATCAAATCATTAAAAAGTGCGAATGTTTTAGGTATCTCGTGTCTATTTTTTAAAGTGATGGTGATATAGATGATGATTCTATTAGTGGAATTCAAGTTAATTGGTTGAGGTGGAAGGATGCATCAGGTCTATTTTGCAATTGAAAAGTATTGCTTAAACTTGAAGGAATATTTTATAAGATGGTGGTAAGACCTTTAATGCTTTATGGTGTAGAATGTTGGCCTTTAAAAGAGAAGTATAAGACAAAGTTAAGTGTTGTTGGCCTTTAAAAGAGAAGCATAAGACAAAGTTAAGTGTTTTGGCCTTTAAAAGAGAAGTATAAGACAAAGTTAAGTGTTATTGAGATGAGAATGCTTTGGTGGATGAGTGGCTTGACAATCAAAGACAAAATTCGAAATGAATCTATCCATGATAGGGTTGGTGTAGCTTCAATGGTAGACAAGATTAGAGAGTCATCTTAGATGGTTAGGTTACACTAAACGTCGACCATCTGATGATTCGATTCGGAGAGTAGATCTTTAAGATTCCAATTATGTTAAGAAAGACATAGGTAGAACTAAAAAGACTTGGACATACTGTGTAAAAAATGATCTTAATCTATTAGAATTAAATGAAAATAGACACAATGGAGAAGAAAGATTCATGTAGCCGACCCCACTTAGTGGGATGAAGGTTTGTTGTTGTTGTTAAACAGGTCGCGAATGCTGTAGTCGATCGCTATGGATGCAGTAGTCCGCCGTGAATGTTGTACATTGTGGATGTAGCGTTAGTTTATCACAGAGGCCGTAGTTGAAAACCAAAATAGTAATTGCTCATGTGGGATGTAGATGATTGTTTCATGAGCGTTGTTTGACCACAGAGACCGCAGTAGGGAGCTGCAGGAGTTGTAAGCCACTTAGGCCCTTGCGGGGATTTGTACTTATATTCATAGGCCGCAGAGGTCAGAGTTGGAAGTTGCATGAACTATGATAAAGTTTGTTAGATCACAAAGGTCGGAGTTGGGAGCTGCATGACCTGTGATAGTGTTTGTAGGATACAGAGGTCAGAGTTTGGAGCTTCACGAGCTGTGATAACGTTCGTAGGCCAATGAGACCAATGTTTGGAGCTGCACAAGCTATGATAATGCCCATAGAGGGTAGAGGCTGGAGTTGAGAGCTACACGAGTGTTGATAATGCCAGTAGGTGGTAGTGGCCTAAATTGGGAGCTGCACAAGCTGTGATAATGCCTATACTTCATATAGGGTAGATTTGTGAGCTGCACAAGCTGTGATAATGCCTGTAGGCCATAGAGGATGAAAATGGAATCTTATTCAAGGTGCTTTGTTACATTGTCTCCGTGATGCGTCGTTACATTATCTCCAGTGTGCGTTGCTATACTGTCTTTGGGGTACCCATTGTATCACTTTTAGTGTATTATACCATTTTCGTTGTGCATCGTTACATCATTTTTGGGCTACGTTGTTCCGTGGGACATTTCCTTAGTCTGCATTGTTGGTCGTTATTATGCACGGTGCTTCGTTACTCCACATTGCACGTCGTGATTTCTCAAGAAGCTTCTTTACAATGAGGGCGCGACCGATAGTGATCGATGGCGGTCATCGAGTGCTGGTCGGCGGCTGTAGGAGTGGGCGACATTCACTTAATCTTCGGTGTGGAACATTGAACCTGGGCTGCTCCAAGTTTTATGTTTCTTCAGTTTAAGGTCTAGGTTCTCCTTTATTAAGGGGGTTGAACTCTATTTATAGAGTCCGTAAGAGATCTCTCTACAAATAAAAAAGAAATCAGATTCACTCCGTTGGAGGAAGACCCAGAAAAATTCCTTTGATCGGACGACGTTTTATAAACATTTGAATGCGCTAAAGATGTTAGAATTGAGTGATATTGGGCTCATTAGATTCTTGTCTTCGTGTAGCTCTCAACTAATTGGACCTTCTAATTAGGCACTGGAAACTTGTAAGTTTTTGAATCTCTTCGTGATGTTAGATTCGACTATATGTTGTTACATTTTGAATCTATTGGACCTTCTAATTAGGCACTGGAAACTTTTCAAATGGCTTAACAGCTCAATCAGGGCTTGATATGACGCGGATTAAACCAACTTCGGTGCCATTGTGTTCATCTTGTCGAACCGATCAGTTTCACTGTAAGTTTGCTAAAATTAAAGTTCTGGATGATTTTAATGTGAGTTTAAACATCTCTTGCTAAAAAAATAGCCTCGTTGTGCCATGCCTCGAAATTCATGTCGGATGATGAAAGTTTTTTTGATGGTGTATCAAACAAATTTCTAAGAGTTGAAATAAATTAAAATGCCCTATAAAGTTTCATATTAAAATCATATCATTGCAAATTTGAACCGATCATAGCTTTTGTTCTTTAGAACTTAATGCAGGAGAGACCTTAGTGTGCCTTGACTTGGGTTTATATATACCTTGCGTTCCAAGACATGAATTGGTGTATTGTAAAATATCATGTTAGAGTTCATATCTTACCTTACAATGACTTTATTGTACCATGTGATGGCTTCATTATACATCAGCTCGAGAAACCATGATGGTTTTTTTTTTCATGGTACCATATTAGAATCCTTAGAAGCATTGACGATTGTTGAACGCTTGATTAAAAAAAAAATAGAAAGCAAAAGTTCTAAAATAGTCCCTTGACTTTTTACATGGGGTCATGTCAATCCCGGAGTCTATAAAAGTGCCAATTTAGTCGCTAAAATCTTTTAAATTGGGCTAAATTAGTCCTCCCTGTCGACTATTTCAGCGCATGTTAAAAGAATTTAGGGAAAAAATTGATACTTTTATAGATTTTAGGGGATTAAAATGACCCCAAGAAAGAGTCGGGGGATCATTTTGACACTTTTCTCAATTAAAAAAAAAAAACCTAGAGATACAAGAAAATAGATAAAAATGAATGCTTGCTGCTGTAGCACTGAAAGCATAATAGGATGCAACACAACTATCCTATGCTTTCGACGATTATTGATTTTGAGCTCCATGTTGTTACTTTCAGATTGTCTCATTATCATTAGCATTATCGGACTTATCCTCAATTTATTCTTTTTGGGTTCAGCAAGGGTGATAACTATTTTGCATAAATAGTTTCGCACAATTTAAATTCAAGTTATTTTAATTTAAATCTTTCCTTCTTAATGCATCTACATTTATTTTTTTTAGCTTATATTTTAGGTGCCTTTTCTATTTTTTTAACATATTCAGGTCGCTTAAGTCTTTTTTTTTTTCACTACCTTATTTTTTGCTGATATCATTCCCGATATCCTTTTTTTATATCTATTTCTCAATTTATTCTTTCTAGATTGGCAACATTCATCTTAAAATTCTCACTTTGTTTAATGCTAAACTTGGTTCTGATCGTTTGATGTCATCTAACAAATGGACCCTTATCATAAACTATCTAATTACAATCTTATAAAATTTACCTTTACCCTCTAAGATGTTTGCTCGTCACATATTATTGCTAAGGGATTTCCCCATTTTAAACACCTAAACCTGACTCCAGATATTGCATTCTCATATAATTACATTCTTTTATAATGTAAATTCAAGATCTTGAACATATTATCACCTTATCATCTTATAAGATTTACTATTTATAATCAATATTATGTCCACTAAAATTGCATATCATTTACTCTATTTTTGTTACTAATTTTGCCTTCTATCTTATATGCATTTTTTCTAATTTTTTTATCTCTGCATATGCTTCAAGAAATGTTTCCTTAATTGGAAATATGTGATTTGCTAAATGAAAACATCAATATACATCATGTTAAATAACTCTTTGTAATAATTTTTATAAACAATGTAAAACGACACTTAATGTTAATTTGATCCTTGATGTTGTTGGAAAGCCTTTGATTACCTTCAATCTATTTCTAATACATGTAAACTCTACACTAGCTATTCATCATTATCATATTAGCATTATCATAACTGTTTAGGGTCGATTTATAAATCCTCATTTTTTGGTTCCTTACAATAATTGCACAACTTTTATCCATACCACTTTGGTCTATTTTGTTCTCTTTTTAATCATTCAATAATAATTGTATTTGCTCTTTTTTTTAATTATGTTTCGTTTCATTCTTTACATATATCTAAATCACCTAAATCTATTTTCCAATATTTGAACTTTTCAATAAATGTTTTTCTTAGCGTACTTTTGATTAAATCATTCCTTAATATTTTATTTTTATATTTTTCATAAAATCTATCTTAACATTATTATTTACCATCAAATATTGAATCCTTGAAACATTGTTAATGTAATTACAATTTTTATTAAATTTATGCTTTGATATCCCGTATATTCTTGTACAGATAATACTTCAAAGGCACTTTTTCATTTTAACCTCTCAAGGTTAATTTTAACGTCTCAATTGTCTTAGCGTATAAATTATTTAAATAATGGGTCTTTTTAGCATGAAACTTAATTTTTTCTCTATCAACAATGTAATGGTTGAATTATATTTAGTCACTCTCATTCATTGCTCATTCATTGCTCTGAATTATATTTAATTTATCTCTTAAATTTTTTTTAGTTAAACTTAATGGTATTTAAACTTTATGCACCTATATGCTGTTTGATTTTTTAGCATTATTAAATCATTATTATCATTTTTTATCCATTAAACCTGCATATCATTTGATGGATGTTTGGTTGCAAGTTAAATAGTTGTAGAGTTTTTTTTTCTGTTGGTGCTTTTACTTTTTTGTATTCAATTGAATGCAAAATTAAGGTATAGAATAGTTTTAAAGGATGAGATACGTCAAAGCACTTATGTTCCATCCAATATTAAATCGACCAAATTGGCCGTATTTCTTCATTTTAACAATTAAATTGCATTATATAAAACAATGAAATTTTGTATTTTATTTTTTTAATTGAATGTGAATAAAAATAAATATTAGTCCAAAACTTCACAACCCCCTAAACATAATTATTTCATCTTCTCACACAAACTATAAGCTAATATAATCATCAATTTCTAAAATATGTATTTGTTTACTAGCAACTAAGTGAGCCCATGAAATTTTAAAGTCCTTTTTCACACAAAATAAGTTAAATCAATTATCACTTTTTGAAACCTGTTTTTATCTACAACTTATTGGGTCCATGAATTCTTATTGTCCTTGGTCACATCTCAATATTTTATACTTTGTTTGTGTCACCTCTTACAAGAGAAGGTGGATGTGTGATACTAAATGAGAAATTTTTTTTGTTTTTTGTTTGTTTTCATTGCTATGAGTGCCACTTGATTGTTAAGAATGAAGTATTTTAGAAATACTATATCCATTGATATTCCACAAATATCATGTTTAGTATGAACTATTTGATTTATGCAGTAAGTATGTTTTACATTGTATTCATTTGGTAGACCATGATCATACTTTCACAATGGTTAGTGACTTGGATGGCTATAGAGTCAAATTGTGGAAATAGTGACTCCACGCCCTTAGAATAAAACTACATAGATCAAGTCCTCTATAGACCATAAATCGAGGGTAGTGCCGTGCGCTTGGCACCCCTTTGCTTGCAACTATCTCCACATCCATACATGGACCCCCTCTTCACAAATATCCTCCCTCTATTTAATATATTGGTCATTTTTATTCAATAATTGATATTTATCTTTTCCTTCTTTATTTTTAAGTAAAAAATTTTTCATTTATGTAATTTATGCATGTCATAATATGGCTATCATATTTATGATTATGTTCATATATTTTAACCAGTATGATGCATTTGTATATTTGTTCATTCATGTTTACATGTGGTCATCTTTATGTCGACAACATTGTTAAATTTGTGTTCCATGTGGTTTGTTTTTGTCCCCCATTTTCTTAAGACTTTTATTCTTACTTCTTATATTCTAGCATCATGTTCAGGCTTCTTATATACTTGGTTTTTGTTGGTGTCCTTAAATTTTCAACTTGTCACAAGTGTGCTACATGTGGTGGCTCTAAATTCATATAACTTGTTTATTTGTCCCTGCACTACTGGTTTTTTGAACTACAATTCACGTTACTATACCGGACACTAGCATGTTGTAACACAGTTTACATCATTATCTTAAAAGTTTGTCAATTGAGGCTTGTTTTCAGTATCAAATATCTGCATATATGATATTGTGTCCTCGTTTGATTTATGTATTGTTGTCATGATGAAAAGTGCCCTCATTCTGATGCTAATTTTGTTTATAAACTGCATTTTGCGTGAGAGAACCATATTTAAAAAAGTCCAGTGCAATCATGTCACATACTTATTAATGAAAAGAAAGAGTGCAAAAACAAATTTGATGTATAGATATTTGGTTTCAATGGATCCTTGCGACAGTCATGCTGAAATTTTAGTACGCTAGCTACTTTAGGGGTTCTTTGTTTATCCGTAATTCAACCCATCAAGGTGCATAGGCTATCAACTGGTACCTGTTAGACTGAGTTTTGGTGTTTTAAATTTTTATACAGCCATAAGAAGAGCTGTCAAAGTAATTTATTTTTTTCAGGCAGAAGAAGCACAAAGATTGCGCAAGAGAAGAAAGGCTGAAAATATGCGATTGCTTGACATGGAGAAGAGGCAGAAGCAACGTCTTGAAGAAATTAGAGACCTGCAGAAAAAGGTTTGGAGATTCTTACTTTTGTATCATGTAGTTTTATGCATTCTTTTCTTTTTCTCTCTTGTAATTTATGTTAGATTTGGCTGCTTTGCCTTGAGATAGATTGACCCGGGGTGGAAGATTTGTGTAACCGGTACGAATTATGGAGAATATTTTTAGATTTTATGGAGGAATTAGGAAATGAAAGGAATAATGGTGCTGCCTTGAAATCCATGCCTTAATGTTTGTTGTCCCTTGGAATCCATGCCTTAAGAAGAGGTGTAGACAGATTTGTGGGTCTCATATTTATCAATGATTAATTGAGCACCATAATTATAGTTTCTCGTGAAGCCATAGGAAAATTACTATCCTCGTCGTTGACAATCCCTCACAGGGAAAAAATGAATAACTCTTCCCATACAATTTCAGTAGCTTTTCACACTGATTCAGATTTTGCTTAGCTAGATGTCTTCTTTGAGAGTACTTAGTTGGCTCTTGTTGAAGAACGTGAAATTCTTGATTATGATCATATTTGGAAGGATTAAAGTGTAATTTGTAGCTTGGTTCTTGACTTCTTTGGCCGATTTTATTTTATTTTATGAATATTAGCTCTTGGATTGTAAGATGGTTAAGCTTTGCCATCAAAAGAAGAATGCGTTGTAACTGTTTAAAACAGTCTAGATGTCATTTATCTTCTATAATCTAAACTGTCTAATCCTTCGTTTGCTGTTCTCACCTCTACATCGGAATTATTATTATTATTAATCTACTCGTGTTTTATTCTTATGGGAAATGAGGCGACATCTTTTGTGGACAACATTTTTAAAATATTAACTCTTTATCTCAGTCCACCCGTAAATTCTCTTTCTTCATTTACATATTTATGATTTATGATAACTTTGATTTCAGCCTATTTATGCTTCTTCGATGAATCTGAAAAGCTAATTTTGGAAAGACCTATTTGTTGTTAGTGCAGTTGGCGTTCTAAACAGATTCTTTGTATAAGGATCCCTACGATACTATTTGTTTGGAAGATTGATCCTCCAACAACATTATTCTTCATTGATTTGAGTCTATTTGGTAACTTTTGGATTTAACTAAGATTTACTAAAACCGGTTTAGTAAATCTTTGGGTGTTAATTTACAGAACTCTTTTGTCTAATATGTGTTAAATCTGATAACAATCCGTGAGATTTTTAGCCAACTTCTTTTAAGATTTAAACTTTTAATTCTATTATATTTAAAATTTATTATTTATAATTATATTAATCATTATATTTTAAGATTTAAATCAAGATTTATATTGATTTATGGAGGTCTACGTTGGAGTATGGAGGTCTACATTGGAGTCTAAAAACCTTCATTTGAGCAGAACTAAAACTGAATACATGGAATGTAATTTTAGTAATAGTAGTTCTAGTGACAATAGTGTAACTTTGGGTGATCAATTTATTAAAAGGTGTGAACGATTTAGATATGATTTAGATATCTTGATTTAGATATCTTGGGTCTGTTGTTCAAAGTGATTGTGATATAGATGGGGATGTTAATAGTAGAATTCAAGTTGGTTGGTTGAAGTGGAGGAATGCTTCAGGCCTTTTTTGTGATAAAAAAGGACTGCTTAGACTTAAAGGAAAATTATATAAGAGGGTGGTGAGACCTGCAATGCTCTATGGTGCTGAATGTTGGCCTTTAAAAGAGAAGCATAATACTAAGTTAAGTGTTTAAGTGTTGAGTGTTGCCGAGATGAGAATGATTAGGTGCATGAGTGGCTTTACACTTAGAGACAAAATGCGAAATGATTATATCTGTGATAGGGTTGGTGTAGCCCCAGTGACGGACAAAGTTAGAGAAAGATGGTTTGGTCACATTAAAAGTCGACCATCTGATGATCTGATTAGAATATTAGGTGTTTTAGATTCGACTTATGTTAAGAAAGACAGAGGTAGACCTATGAAGACTTGAGTTTATTGTATAAAAAATGATCTTAATTTATTAGAACTAAATGAAAATTTAACGCTAAATAGGACACAATGGAGAAAAAGGGATTCATGTAGCCGATCCCACGTAGTGGGATTAAGGCTTTGTAGTTGTTGTTTGTTACTGTCGCATTAGTAAAGAAAAAGGTTGTGGAGGCTTTAAAGAAAACCCAAGGTGGAAAGTTGATAGGACCTGATGATATCCCAATTAAAATGTGGAAATATTTAGAAGATTTGGGAGTTTCTTGGCTTTCTAAACTCTTTAATATTATTTAAAAATTAAAAAGATGCCTAAGTGGAGGGAGAGTATTTTGGTCCCCATTTTTAAGAATAAAGGGGATGCACAAGAGTGTGCAAATTATAGAGGAATTAAGTTGTTGTGTCATATTTTAAAATTATAGGAGAGGGTAATTGAACATAGGTTAAGACATATTACATAGATTTCTCATAATCAGTTTGGATTTATGCCGGGTAGGTCTACTATAGAAGCAATACTTTTATTGAGAGATTTAATAGAGAAGTACATAGAGAAAAATGAGGATATATATATGATTTTCATTGATTTAGACAAAGCTTGCGGCAATGTTCAAGAGATATTCTTTGGAGAGTTCTAGAGAAAAAAAGTGTTGATATGAATTTTATTCAAGTCATTAAAGATATGAATACTAGAACTGTTGCTTGTGTTCGAACAGAAGGAAGATTAACCAAATTTTTTCCTATTTCAGTTGGATTATATCAGGGATCGACTTTAAGCCCATATATTTTTGTGCTTTAGTTATGGAAGCTCTTAGTGGACATTTACAGGAGGATGTGCCTTGGTGTATGCTTTTCGCTAATGATATTCTTCTTGTGGATAAGACTAGAGAAAGAGCTCAGAGAAAACTTGAATTATGGAGGTCTACATTGGAGTCTAAAGGCATTCGTTTGAGTAGAACTAAAATTGAATACATGGAATGTAACTTTAGTAGTAGTAGCTCTAGTGACAGAGTTTTAATTATGGGTGATCAACCTATTAAAAGTTGGGAATGCTTTGGATATTTCGGGTTTATTGTTCAAAATGATGGTGATATAGATGGGGATGTTATTAGTAGAATTCAAATTGATTGGTTGAAGTGGAGGAACGCTTCGGGCCTATTGTGCGACAGGAAAGTACTGCTTAGACTGAAAGGAAAATTTTATAAAATGGTGGTGAGACTTGCTATGCTCTATGGAGTAGAATGTTAGCCTTTAAAAGTGAAGCGTAAAACTAAGTTAAGTGTTGCCTAGATTAGAATGCTTAGTTGGATGAGTGGCTTTATGCTTAGAGACAAAATGCGAAATAAATATATCAAATTGGTTGGTCATATTAAACGTCGGCCCTCTAATGATTCAGTTAGGAGAGTAGATGTTTGAAATTCGACTTATGTGAAGACAAGCAAAGGTAGACCTAGAATGACTTGGGCATATTGTATAAAAAATGATCCTAATATATTAGCATTAAATGAAAATATGACACTCAGTAGGACGCAATGGAGAAAAAGATTCTTGTAGCCGACCCCACTTAATGAGATAAAGGCTTGTTGTTGTTGTTGTATAATTATATTAATCATTAATTAGTAATTTATTAAGTTAATTAATCATTTGTGAGAATTTCTTTAGAGTAGTTTTTCATTAATTAGTATGTTGACCTCAATTTTTCGTGAGGTCTAGTATTCCTCGTAGGAGTTAGGATCTAGCCTTAGGGGTCTTCCTGCGACTATCTTAGAACCTTAGAAGTGGGACCCGCCTCGTTTTAGTTCGACCCGCTTCCGTCCCTTTCTGGAGTTTCGCGTGTGTGGTATCGA